GATGTTGTCCGATTCTCAGACCTACTGAATATGCATATAAATTTTACGAAAATCGGTCGAGCCGTTTCGAAGTAGTTCAATTACGCACACCGTGACACGAGAATGTTATATATTAGAGATAGATACGGCACTTATAACACAATTTTTTAAATGTCATAAAACTACTTACTTCTAAAAACATTTATTCTTCGTCTGAGGTGTCACACTTTGTTTGATTTTAGGTTTAGGAAGACTATTTGTTTGTGAAACAACGTTGTTTCAGAGAGCACGGGGTGTCTGTGACGAACAACACCTGGCAGCTGAACTTCAGCATGTCGAGCAAGTACTGAAGGATAATAACCTGAATGTACCACGTCGCCGTCACAGTCGCGCCAAACCTAGCACAGTCGACAGACAACCTGCTATACTACCTTACATGAAAGGAGTCACTGACAAGATTGGGAGGATTCTGAAGCGTGCTTCAATCAATACATACTTCAAGCCGCCAAAGAAGATCAACCAGTTTCTACGACCGGTCAAGTGCAATATACCCTTTCAAGTTGCTGGTGTCTACAAACTTGAATGCGACTGTGGGCTCTCCTACATCGGGCAAACAAAGAGGAGTATAGGGACTCGGGTAAAAGAATATATCGCAGATATGAAACATAGGCGTGAAAATAAATCTGCAGTGTGTGAACATGCATTAGGGGGACCAAACCACTACATTAGATTTGATAGACCACAGATCCTTGCAGCTGAGCGGCGGTTCGTTCCTCGAATGATGCGCGAGGCTATTGAGATTAAAAAATATCCAAATTTCAATAGGGAAGATGGTTGGTATATACCACCAGCTTGGGAACCTATTATACAGGAGATAAAATCCCAACCCCGAGCACACACTGCAAGACCATCAGATACTATTAGTTCTTTTTGTTTGCATAATTTAACATAAGAAGGAGATAGAAAGCCTCTCTTGAGTTTGTTTCGCCGGTTCTTCTCAGGAAGGTCTCCCAATTTTGGAACCGGTGGTAGTTTACGGTAGTTATGGTCAAATAAATAAAGTCAAAATTACAAACAAGAATTTTTAATAAAATACTTTATTAAGTAAATTAAATAATAAATTCATACATAGACAATAAAACTTAAAAATCGAACAATGAAATAACCAAACGCTCAATAAAAGTCTTTCGAAGGTAGCTCGACAAATTAAATAAAAGTTTTATTCTGACGACGTAGCCTGTAAAGGCTACGAAACGTCAATAAATAAAGTTTTCGTGCATTAACCCGTAAAAACTAGTTTTATTTAGGAAGACTATTGAAGTTATTAACGGAATTGTTACCATGAACCTTGTTTTTTTTATGAGTCTAATATTTCGGCACTGTTGCAAGCGTCATGATCACGGAGTAACTCAAGTCATTGCGGGTAGGATATTATACGCAGATAATTAGGCATAATTCAAAAACCTATTTAAAATTAATGTGTAATTCCAACAAGTAACCCTTTTTTATTTGTTTCTTAGGTTTTCACGCACATCACTCATTAAATAAAACTAGTTTTTACGGGTTAATGCACGAAACTTTATTTATTTATTGACGTTTCGTAGCCTTTACAGGCTTCGTCGTCAGAATTATTCTGATACTAAATAAAGTTTCGTGCATTAACCCGTAAAAACTAGTTTTATTTAAGTAACCCTTTTTTATCCATAGATTAGATTGACCCATCTTTAGACACGCAGCCCGGTAATTCATTACGTTACGATAGACAGACCCCTCTTTCCCAGTGAGCACTTTGGGCCCAGGGCCCCGTGATCGATAGGGGTCCCCTATCCCCCCTCAGATCAAATAAAAAGTCCCCAGTTCCTGTTAAATCACCAAACGGGGGTCATAGGGGCCCCATTATCCTAATATGCCCAGGGCCTCCAATAAGTCAAAGTCGGCACTGACGATAGAACTACATTCCTAACGTTCATTTTTGCGCATTTAGTACCACAGTTAGCTAAAGCATCGTTGGGCAAGTGTAGAAGAAGCAAACTAGAAAACAAAATTAAAAATCATTTATTTAGTCTAGGCTGTTACAAGCACTGTCTGCGGGGTCCCCGCGATACCCCGGGAGACCCCTGCCGCGGAGCCCCGGTAAGGCCGGGAGGCTGCTAGGTGCGGAGACGCGGAAGAATCCCTAAACGGGGATCCCGCGGCTTCGCGCTAAGCAGCTTAGAGGGTGTTCGCAGGGTTTTTAGCTAATATTATGCCGTAAAGCGCCCGTAAGGGTTACGGGGTCCTCAGCGGGCAGCCACTGCTGGGGCTCGTAAGGCTTGCGGGAGCCGGTAAGGTGTGCCGTCGTCTGTAAATAGTATTTTTTGCCTGCGTATAAAAAAAAAGGCTGTTACAAGCACTTGTGAATGTCAAGAAGCTACGCAATCGGTTCGAGAAGAACCGGCAAGAAACTCAGCGAGGGCTGTTTTTTTCTCCCTGTATTGTTAAATACAGAGTCGTCAAGTTGAAAAATTACTTCAGAAATACTGCTGAAGTCACCTTCCACTACATCATTTTCAATATAGTAATATAGTTACAATAAATTTTAGAGTTAACTTTATTTTTAGTATATAGGAAGTGGTCCTTTCGCACGGTTCCCAACTTAGGGGTTTTGCCCCCAGATTTAGGGGCTAGAAGGGTTAAAAGGGACTTTTTTTAGGGGCTGGAATTTTTTAGGGGCTTTTAACATAACTTTCAATTAATCTCATTTTCGTTTGATTTTTCATTCGGAAAATGTATTTATTCAATAAAATAATTTACTGTGACTAAATATGTAACGTTTTAATTTATGAGCAACGAAAGAATTTAGGTAATAAGATAAGTAAGTACATATATATTTCTATATTTAGGGGATTTTAGGGGAATTTAAAAAATACTTAGGGTAAAATTTTGGTAAGAGTTGGTAACACTGTCCGTTCGTGTGCATGTTTTCATTAGAAAATAAGTTGGTACTTAATCGTCATGTCATGTCTGCAAACTCTGTGATCTATGTGCTCGTGGTATATTAACTTTATTTTCTCATAAATGTTGTAGTTCCGCACTAAACTATAATAGATTTTAAGTCCTAACGTGTAGGGTTTAGATTCGTATGCTTGTGATTTGTACCTATCTTCATATTTCTCACGATGCTTGCTAGATTTCATGGTAGCATGGTTATGGGAAATTGTACGCGGTGCATTCACCATGCAAAATGAAGGTACTTAGATATCACATAGTTTTATCTTTTTTTATTATCATCATCATCAGACTATTAATGTCCCCACTGCTGGGGCACAGGCCTTCCCTATGGATGGATTAGGGAGATTGGGCCATGACCCACCACGCGGGCCCAGTGCCGTTTGGTGGGTGCTAACGACTGCAGATGCAGCTGGAACCAACGGCTTAACGTGCCTTCTGAAGCACGGAGGAGCTCGAGATAGTAAATTTTTGGTCACCCATCCAATGACCGACCACTGCGAAAGTTGCTTAACTTCAACGACCGCAGCCTAACGCGCTAACCACTGGCGCCATCGAGCTCCTCTTTTTTATTAACAGCATTACAATCTATAGAAAATAAAATAACAACAGTACCCCTAGCACGAACTAATATCGAATTCGAATAGTTTGCGTTGTCATTGTCAAATTTTGAATGGAAACTTGAACAGCAGCGCCACAAAGGACGTAACGAGAACCAAAAATCAGACTCCTGATTCCATAAAGACTCCTGCTCAAATATATTGAGGTAACTACAGGTACCTACGGAACCCTACACTGCGCGTGGCACGACACGCACTTGGCCGGTCGGTTTTTTTATTTAAATTCTTTCCTTCTAATACATTATTTAGTTTTTACATCGTTATTTTATTTATACACTATATAGACCTCAGTGCGTACAGTAGAATACTATTTTTTCATGAAATACGGAAAAATTGAGATGAAATAGGTAGGATACTTTTTTATGGAATAGGGATATTAGGCCCTAACTCGCCACGCGGGCCCAATTCGTATTGGTTGTTGAATATTTTTAAATTTGTTCTGTAGGCATACTTTACGCATACTACGCATTTCTGAGTCTGTGCTTTAATTTATAGTACTAATAGGTTATCAAAAGAGAATAAAGGAAATAATTATTTATTAAAATCTTCTAAAAATCTTTAAAAACAATGTATCTAATTAAAGTTTTATGTCCTACTAACGCCATCTGTTGAACTAGATGGGAACTAAATTAACTTTTTTATTGAAGGCGTTTTTGAATATTTTTGTAAATTTAATTTGGTGGTAATGAAACACTTTTTTTCTGTCGTTACTCAAGAAGAACGCTGTAGTTTTATTTTCTATCTTTGATACGTTCCAATAAACTTTTTCGAAGGTGAACTTTGGGAATATGTGAAATGATTAGATAAGTTCACGTCAAACCTGTTTAAAAACAAATAATGAAAGTTTTTATATATTTTTTTTATCTTTTGAGGCCTTCAACTATGTTTAAATCTAAAGAAAATTTTACGAGAAAAATACCACACGAACCAAGCAGCAGACGGAACTCGAACCCGCACCCTTCGCTATCTGGGCGAATGCACTGACCATTATGCTACCGCGGCCCTGGATAGCGAAGGGTTCGAGTCCCTTCTGCTGTCTGGTCTCATCATCATCATCATCATCATCACCAGCCTATTAATGTTCCCACTGCTGGAGCACAGGCCTTCTCTATGGATGGAATAGGGAGATTGGGCCATGACCCACCAAGCGGGCCCAGAGCGGATTGACGGGTGCTAACGACTGCAGATGCAGCCGGGACCAACGGCTTAACGTGCCTTCCGAAGCACGGAGGAACTCGAGATAGAAGATTTTTGGCCACCCATCTAATGACCGACCACTGCGAAAGTTGCTTAACTTCAACGATAGCAGCCGAACGCGCTAACCATCTGCGCCATCGAGCTTCTCAGATCTAATTCTGGTCTAAGTGGATTTTTTTCTAGTAAAATGTTCTTTATGAAAATTCTTGTTTCCAGACAATGTTCCAATACGAATATGAGAAGCGGCCGCCCTCCTCCTCGTCTTGCGTTAGTCAAACAACCACGTTGACCAGCTGGGATCCGCCTACCGCCACCAGCCGCCCGCCGCTACCGCCTAGGCCGCAGCAGTACCAGAGGATACCTAGCAAAACCACTGTATGTATATTTTTTTTTAATATTCTCCCTTTTTAGGGAAGGCAAGAGGAACAAAAGCTCATACAGCCTCGTCTTTAGTTTGTTTATTTTATATTGAAGAATAATTTAAATATATTTTATTTTAAAGAACGCAACTAAAAGACCGTCATAATGACAGAAGACAACAATACCCTGAACCTCGCAGCACTTCACCCTATATAAAGAAAAGCATTTCAAAGTTATAAAGACTGTAACAAAATATTTGAACACTTGAATAAACATTTACAAAGACAAAACAAAATAATGAGTTAACATATGACATAACCTACAATTTTAAATTTGCTCTACAGTGCTCATAATAAATTTAAATAAAGACAAATAAGTACAGCTATTTATAAAAATATCCTGAATTAAGCGCGGAACCATCTCTGATTGGCCATATATTTCAATAAGCTCATCCATCAACACAAGGTGCTGAATCACAGTATGTATATTAGCATTCAAAATGTTTTTCTTTCTCTCTTTTTTATTGTTTAAAATTCTCCCGTTTTAGGGAAGGCACAGGGAACAATGCCCATACAGCCTTAATCTTTAGTTAAATTAATCTTCTTTTTCTTTTTACATTAGAATGTTAATGTGACGCATTCTAATGTTTCTTGGAGTGTTTGGCATGAAATGTATCGAGTTGCCTTTTTCGATAAGCTTGAGTGAGGTAGTCAACACTACAATAAAGTTCTCACGTCCACTTGACCGGAATAGCGTATATTTTAACGATTCCACTCATTATTCAGTTACGCAGACGGCTGTAACACAAAATCACACCATTTTTTCCCCAATATCCACTATGAACGAATTTAAGAATAATTAAAATAAGACGCCAACCGCACTTGACGAAACCCCGCCAAAAACTCCGTTTTTCTTTCTCATCAGTTTAGGGTTACTATATAAAAATTTGTAAATTCCTGACAAAAAGCCGGACATTTCGATAAAATGCAAACATCACCCACTTAGTTACAGTGATATTATACGCGTGGTAGCAGACGCACGCATAGCGAATGGGATCTCGTTGTTGATTTTTAAAGATAATTTACATTTTGTTTTAAATTAATAAGAACTTATATTGTATATTACTTATATTAATGGAATCAGATGACATTTATGCGTAATTTGAGATATAAGTGGTTTAATACAAATTAGGTTCCTTATATACATAATTGTTAATTAATTAAATTTTTTTGTAATTTTTAACTGTACTGTATATTGCGATACCCTGGCAGGGTTCATGTTAGGTACTATAAGCATTTTGTAACCATCGATGTAACCACATGAGTGCAATAAATTGAATTGAATTGAATGACCAAAGATTATTTGACTTATTTGATATAACTTAATAAGTAGTTTTACTGATACTCCATCCAATTAAAAAAAATCGGATAAATTAAAAAGCCTGACAGAGTCCGGACGAAAGGCAAAATCTCCGGACATGACCGGACAAATCCGGACAGATGGTAACCCTACTCCAGTAGGCCCCCATTTTCGCTGAAAGTGTGACTCGCCCGTGATTCCTCGAGGATTAGGACCACGAGGACGTATGAGTGCTCAAAAGACGAGGAATTTGAAGGGCTTTAAGAAGATGTAAATATAGTTATATTTTTTTTTATTCTTATTTCAAAGCATTTAGTAGCATAATTGGTCAGTGCATTCGCCCGGATTGCGAAGGGTGCGGGTTCGAGTCCCGTCTGCTGCCTGGTCCGCGTGGAATTTTTTCTAGTTATATTTTCTTAAGATGTAAATATATTTTGGAAAAGTCGTTTCTCTTTTTTACCCGGCTGCGCAATGCAAGAGCGCGAAGCGCGACGCGCAGACAGGGTTATGTGTTTAACAGTCTATATATGTATGTTTGTTCCTTTGTGGCACACTAGAGACCAAACGCCTGGACCGATTTTATTGATTCATACATCAATCGATTCGTCTCAATCATGGGAGTGCTACAAAAGATATAATAGTAATCAAAATTCAATATGGGCAAAATGAGGCGCCATATTGTGACGAATTAAAAAAATTAAGTGGACAAAATATGTCGAGTGGGGTATCACTGTCTAGATAATCAAAAATCATATTTAGGTTCCTAACACCATTTTTCATTTAATATGATTGTTCAGGATCTACAACGCTTTAAAGTTGTATATTAACCACTTACGCTTTTAATTTCAATCTTACATTTGTATGGATCTTTGTTACTCTTTCACCTAAAAAATACTGAATGGATTTTAATGAAACTTAACAGTAATATAGCTCATATATGATAATTACATATATATAATAATTTATGTAGTTATTGAGTGAATTGGCCAATATATAACAATAAGTGTCACATAAGACGGAAAAAAATCTCCCATCTGCGAGCCATTTTGGCCTGCACTGCAAAAACAATAAATGTTACATGAATGTAATGTAGAGTGAAAATGTATCTCTTAAATAGTTCTAAAAAAAAGTCCGTGTCACCATATATCTATTTTTAATGTGTAAGTCATTACCGCTAAAATAGTGAATCAAAACTAAAATATTATTTGATATCTGTTTCCAAAATGCACATTTTGTATTAACAAATCATTTTTTATCAAAACAAATACTTTTATCGCTTTTGATAGTTAAAGACGATAAACTTTGCTTTTTACACTATGTCATTTCGACAAATATTTAAAAAGTTACAACGATGACAAAGTGATAGCGCGGTGTACTATGTAAAAGAAAAAAATGGGCTATTCGCAGTATCTGATCCTATACGAAGCACTAACAATAAAACTGTGATACAGTTCCTTCTTATTAAATGATGAAAAATATATTATCATAATAGGTATTTATGATTATTGAATTTTAATGAAAAACTCTGAATTTTACTGTTTTTCATTTTTTTAACGATATTACTTAATGTTAAAAAAAGGTTTACATAATATAATGACAAATAACCCATTTCTCGCTAGTAAGTACATACTTATTGGAATCCCTATATTATTAATCAGCTCGCGATAATATTGGTTTTGTAATAATTCTACAAAATTCAAAGTAAATAATGTAGATTTTTATAGTTAAATCACCCCTTTCATCGCCCTACGCCAATAAGTATTGATGTTGTAGCTAAGAACCAAGTTCCCATCTACTTCTATATGGGAATTCATTATATTCGATTTAGCTATTAGGGCACGGAAGCGCAACAAACAAACTCACTTTCACATCTATAATATTATATTATACTTACTAGTGATCCACCCGGGCATTGTACGGGCGTAATTTATTTATCGGGATGAAACATAGCCTATGTCACTCGGACAAAATGTATTTAAATAAATAAAAATGTTATAATAAATAATGTAGCTACCTTATGATGAATTAATATTTGAAACCGGTTCAGTAGTTTGACAATTTGTTACAAACATACAAATCTTGCCTCTTTATAATATTAGTATAGATAGTTAGGATATGATAAGTATTTAATTGATGAAAAAGATTTAAAAATAAAGTAAGTAATAGGCTTATTTCATTATAATTGTAAAAGTTACTTGGCATTTGTGCTGAACAGTTATATTAGATACGTTATTCGGTATTTTTTTAAACAAAAAAAAATTTGGAAAATAATTGCCATGATTGCCCTACTGGGAGTACTCTTCATTCAAGCTTTACACTACCAATAAAAAAGGGTCGATCACAAAGTCTTTGACCTGTTTTAAGTGAACGCTTTAAAAGAAAACTACAAAGAGAACTATACATTGATAATAAATGACATTGCTATGGTGCTCTACCTAACGTTATGAAAATTTTATTATGCGCCTTTAGTTTAATCAAATATTATAAACTTTGCTTTGGTGATTGCATAATTATTTAATTTAGTGATCTAAGGCAGTTGCCACCATTGTCCAAAACAACAAACGGCAATTACTGCTTTCTTCAACCTGCAACATAAACGTCATTAATTGGTATTGTATATAGGGTGATTAAAAACATTTGAAGTTAACTTCTGGCATCTACATATTGGGATTCTGTGAATTATGTGGGTATATCAAATTATGAGACTAGGGACTGACACTGCATTTGTGTATATCACAATCTTAGACGTCAGGCATTGACATGACAATGCAGCCACTGCCAATTTTAAATAGTCGACGAATAAAAGTAAATGAATTTTATATTTATTGCTAAACTATTTAAAAAACATAAACAAAAGATGACTTTTTGAGTAAGTGCTAGTTTACTATAAAATTTACATACATTAGAGATATTTATGTAACGACTTGATTTAACTTCACACATTTTTGCGAAAATTGAGGCCCATCTGTAGCCTTGACCCCGCTGGTAAAGTCTCTATATGTCTTAATAAATCAATCTTGTAGACCGACGTACTTAATAATTCCCGCGATATTAATTCCCTTACTGAAGTAGCAAGACTACGGTATAATGATACCATCTTAAAATACTAACTAACTAAAAAGTGTGAAATAAAAAAGGTAAATTTAAAAAATCAAAAAACCCGACTGCTTAATTATACTTCAAATAAAAAAAGAAAAGAAAAAAACAAGTCCAGTAGTCTATAATTCTGTTAATAAGGAACAAAGCTACTTTAACAGTCGGGACCCACTGTTGAAAAATATTATGTATTCTTGAATATCTAATGGGTCTCGACTGTTAAAGTAGCTTTGTTCCTTATTAACAGAATTAACTACTGGACTTGTTTTTTTCTTTTCTTTTTTTATTTGAAGTATAATTAAGCAGTCGGGTTTTTTGATTTTTTAAATTTACCTTTTTTTTTGAATATTCCATAATATGTAGATTCATTGTCAATGCCCTTTCAAGTCGTGTAGAGCACGAGATCTGTGAATTTTGTTTTAAACTTTCATGGTCACTGACATTATACGTGATCATGGCGCTTGCAACAGTGCCGAAATATCGGAAACTCGCTACAAACAAGGTACATGGTAACAATCCCGTAAATAACTTATATTACTATAATGTTAGTGATCATGAAA